CTCCCCCCACCTACAATCCCTGCCGGTACGAGACTCGAACCCGCAACCTTTGGGTTACGAGTCCGACTCTCTAACCATTAGGCCACGACTTCCCCTTGTTGGCTACTTCTACAAATACAACGTGCTACTTATGATTGGTTTTGTGGTCCAGGGTCACAAATGAGCAGAACAGAAAGACTTATAGCTACTAAGAATAAGACATAACATTAAAGCAATCAAAATCCTTAAGCCCTGAAACTGAATAACTCTGACTGTCTTCTCCTGCACAGGAAGTGCATACCTAAGTGGCAAAGGATGAGAACTGCGATTAAACTCACCAGCGAGGCTCTGTCTGTCAGAAGCGGAAGCAGTGGATGTCCTGTAAAGTGTCCTAGAGTCCAGACCTAGCAGAAAATTGAGGCGTTAACTCATCTCTCAAAAATAGATCTTCCATGCCAGCTTGGATTAGAGGAGCAGTTATATCTAAACATTAAATGTAAAAGCCCGGAGATATAAATATATCCAGTCACGCTATCGGGAGAACTGGGAAAACAGCCCAGCTGAATCCCTGAGCTCTGCTTTAGTCTGTGAAGAAGTGAGAAGACGGCTTCAGTCAAGCCAGACAGTCCGAGAGCCGCTCAGGGGAGAAAGAGAGGGACGGCTCACAGTGAAAGAGGAAATCTGGATGTTAATAACTGCCATATGGTGTAATAAGAAACATTTCACACATTTCATTTATTATTTTCAATGTGGAAATATATATTTAAAAAATAAATATCTATTAAAAGAAGTAGAAATCCAATGTGTTTTTATTTTCGTTCTTTCTTGTGGCTGGAGACGCTCTGCAGGGATTCCTGCTCACTCGGTATCATGTGTCAGGTTCTCTAACGAACAAACCACAAACAATAAAGCCCTTTACATGACATTCAATGACACAAAAGTATTACCTGTCCGCTCAATTGCTTCGACCAACTTAATAAGATTAGGAGGAGCAGTTTCCGGGTGTGTGAATTGTTTGGTCAAGTCCAGCACTGGAGCAACTGAAACGGCAGAGAGAAAAAAAAAAAGACAATTTCCCTCAAACTTCTGCTTATAACGATTACATAAATATATCATCCTCTGAACATTTCATACAAATTAAAAGTGTCCAAGATAAAGGAAGGAAAAGCCTTTTAAACCAAGAGCAAATTGTTTTTTTTCAACAAAAGTTTAAACTAAATCACTTAAATATCATGTGGTGTAAACATCAAGTAAAAAGTGGTAACATTTTTCTTACACCTTGAATATGTGAATTTACATACCTTAATTATTATAATTAACATTTTATTTCTTTTTTTATTTAGTCATTTAGCAGACGCTTTTATCCAAAGCGACTTACAAATGAGGACAACAGAAGCAATCAATTGTAGTATTAAAACAACTAAAAACAGATCCAAAACTAAAAGCTAAAACTTTATAAATACTACCTATACACATTTTAAAAATAAAGAAATTAAATAAAAATTACAAATGCATACAACAAAATTGCAAAACTTAACATTTAAATGAAAAACAAAAAAATTAAGCTAAAAACAATTCAAAATATTAAAGAACAAAAGGTATAAGAGTATAATAACGATTCTAACATAACACTAAGCCAAACACCAAAAAAAATATATCCAGTCACGCTATCGGGAGAACTGGGAAAACAGCCCAGCTGAATCCCTGAGCTCTGCTTTAGTCTGTGAAGAAGTGAGAAGACGGCTTCAGTCAAGCCAGACAGTCCGAGAGCCGCTCAGGGGAGAAAGAGAGGGACGGCTCACAGTGAAAGAGGAAATCTGGATGTTAATAACTGCCATATGGTGTAATAAGAAACATTTCACACATTTCATTTATTATTTTCAATGTGGAAATATATATTTAAAAAATAAATATCTATTAAAAGAAGTAGAAATCCAATGTGTTTTTATTTTCGTTCTTTCTTGTGGCTGGAGACGCTCTGCAGGGATTCCTGCTCACTCGGTATCATGTGTCAGGTTCTCTAACGAACAAACCACAAACAATAAAGCCCTTTACATGACATTCAATGACACAAAAGTATTACCTGTCCGCTCAATTGCTTCGACCAACTTAATAAGATTAGGAGGAGCAGTTTCCGGGTGTGTGAATTGTTTGGTCAAGTCCAGCACTGGAGCAACTGAAACGGCAGAGAGAAAAAAAAAAAGACAATTTCCCTCAAACTTCTGCTTATAACGATTACATAAATATATCATCCTCTGAACATTTCATACAAATTAAAAGTGTCCAAGATAAAGGAAGGAAAAGCCTTTTAAACCAAGAGCAAATTGTTTTTTTTCAACAAAAGTTTAAACTAAATCACTTAAATATCATGTGGTGTAAACATCAAGTAAAAAGTGGTAACATTTTTCTTACACCTTGAATATGTGAATTTACATACCTTAATTATTATAATTAACATTTTATTTCTTTTTTTATTTAGTCATTTAGCAGACGCTTTTATCCAAAGCGACTTACAAATGAGGACAACAGAAGCAATCAATTGTAGTATTAAAACAACTAAAAACAGATCCAAAACTAAAAGCTAAAACTTTATAAATACTACCTATACACATTTTAAAAATAAAGAAATTAAATAAAAATGACAAATGCATACAACAAAATCTCAAAACGTAACATTTAAATGAAAAACAAAAAAATAAAGCTAAAAACAATTCAAAACATTAAAAAACAAAAGGTATAAGAGTATAATAACGATTCTAACATAACACTAAGCCAAACACCAAAAAAACAACTACATATGTGTATGTACAACCACACACACATACATATATACTGTATATGTACATACACATTTATAAATTCAGTATATATATTATTTCATTTCCATTTAGTTTGTTGAAGTATTAAAATAACTCAAATTAAATAAAACTAAAAACTTAATAAAATACCTATACAGACATAATAAATTCAGACATCATTTAGCTAAAATTAAAATAAATAACAAATACAAATAATACAAATCAAACGACAGTAGTTTATCAGTAATCCTAAAAATAACACTGCCAAACTTACATGCTAAAAAACAACAACTTACTTACACATAGTAAGAAATGGTTATAAAAACTGAAACAGAAGTGAAACAGTAGTAGGAAGGCATAACATTTACATTCAAAATAAACATTTACATTTTTTAATATATTTTTAATGTAAAAAAACTTTTTATCTTTAAGTCATAAATATTAAGTATAATCTACTTAAGTATAAGTATAAAACCTCAAATTATCTGATATTTTTTACAGTCATGAGAGTCAGCAGGGGTGCTCACTCTTATATCACTTCCTGTTTTGTTTACACTTTTCCCACTTTTTGGCTGCACAACATGGCTTTGAATTGGCAGACAAACATTCAAATATTAATAAATAGCTAAGCAGTTTTTTTTCCTAGAAATAATACAAGATTATGCCAAACTATTTAATATGGTTTTCTTTTCATAAGGTTTTCTCTTCAATATGACAACAGGACAGTAAAAAAAAACAACTTTTTTTTAGAAATGAACAAAATTAATTTTTATTTACACATTAAAAACATGTTCATTATATTAGAAGTGTATTCAATTCACTGTATGAATTAATTGCATATTTAAAGTATTTTTAATAATAGTTATAACAATAAAAAAGAGCATCATGCCATTAGGATACCATGGGATTACATTTATTTTCTAAATAAAATGAGTGCCTTATAAAATGCAAAATCCAAATCCTAAAGTAAAATGTTTCTTAACACCAGCATTTACTCGGGCACTCTACTTTCTCATTTCTAAATTGTGGTTTGCAAGATTGCAGCCTTCTCTACCTACTGTTGTGACTCACTGTCCCGAGGCCAATGTTTTAAATTTGACTGACTTGCCTGTTACCTTTTTTAAATATAGCGCTAAATGTGCAGTCCTTCGTGGAATACTAAAACTGCCAAAAGCAGCAACTGTCTAGCGGAGAAGGCTGTTGACGTGATATAATGAGAAGGCTCTTCTATAAAATCAGGGTATTTTTGCACCTCAGAGCCAGCACTGAACTCAACGCAGGCCACGTCTCCCACTTCTCTTCTGTCTTAGGACAGTGATGGCTTCGGGATGTATAATTGCATATGGTTTTTTATGACCGTTTTTATATTTTGCTTCCTTCCTTGCTTGTTTTATTGGTTAAAACCCCTTGAAGTCCTCTTGCATTCACACAAAACAATTAAACTCAAAAACTAACCAAAATAACTAAGCAGACGTTAGAAGGCATTACAAAATCACACAGTAAAAGATAATGAAACAGAATTTAAAAAACTAAATGGATGAAGCTACACAAAGAAAACAAAGAAAAAAAATGTCTTTATCATTCAAAAGATTTTTACTGGTGAAAAAAAAACCAACGTTTCCTCCTGTCTTATTCCACCCCTTCTGGAGCAAAAGCTGCCTTGGCCCTTTGCGTGAGTGCAGCACAATAAACGATTTAATCAAAAATCCTGAACAAGCAAAACCCCACTGGCCGTGTGCCAGACCCTCCTTTTCAGGCCCACCACAAAGAGGCCAGAGCTTGGCTGCCTTCGCCTCCTGGCAGTGCAAGGCTAAACCACGTCTGATTATTAATTTTGGAGTTCAGACGAAGTGCCATGTCAGCACATTCCACTTTTCCACTGCACGTTAAACATGGAACTTTGCTCGCTTTTCCCTCTTACGGACATGAAGCCTGCCTCTTCCGCCCTCAATCTTTCCTCATCTCACACATTTACCACGACACCACAGGTCGTGTTAACCCAGTGGTTCTAAAACTTTTTTGGTCGCGCCTCCCTTTAAACCTATAAAAGAAAAATCTGGCGCCCCCAGATGTTTCTTTTACATCTGAATTTCCGATGTCTACATGGAAAGCTGTCAATCGATGTGAGGGGCGGGACTATACTATGGGGTATGTTTGTATTGGGAGGTGACGTCACTCACAGACAACCGTGCCGAATGCTTTGCTCAATAGAGGTAATCGGTAAAGGCTCTGCCAAAGGCAGCTGCCAATCAGTGGCGGGTAATAATAGATTATGATGGAATTTTTACGACCCTTTCCATCAAAATGACAGACAATGTTCAAGTCTAACGCAACCTATGCACGACACTAGGGTAGAGGTGCGCCGATCCGATATTCAGTATCGGTATCGCTCCGATACAGACATTTTCTGCTGGATCGGGGTATCGGTCAGACGAGACCGATCCAAATCCGATATAGTGTGTATACTATTCTGTGTTATTATTAAGCCCCACGAAAGCCACAAAAACATTAAAAAGCACCATAAAGTTTTCGTGCACTATATTTCAAGTGTTCTGAAGCTTTCCCATAGTTTAATGTGAGGTACAGATGAATATTTAAGTCAAGTTCACGTAAACTCTTCTCTCCGCAGCGGCTGTCTGTCATCCTCCATTCAGCATTCAAACTGTGTGTCACGTTCGGTTATGACAGTCAAGACGATGAAACTCTCTCCAAGATGATTAAATGTTCCTAATGTTATACTTGATCTGTAAATAAAGATAAATGGTTTTGCATAAAAGGAATTTATCTTGCTGGAGTTTCGTGTCTAAATCGTGTAAATTTCTACCGGATATCTGGTTAGATCACAAGACTGGAGTAGAGAGCACTATGAATTGTTCGTCATGAGCACAGTAACTGAAATTTAAAACTGTTAAAGTGAAAGTGAAAGTGACATGTGGCCAAGTATGGTGACCCATACTCGGAATTAGTGCTCTGCATTTATCCTATCCAAAGTGCACACACAGCAGTGAACACACACATACCGTGAACACACACCCAGAGCAGTGGGCAGCCATTTTTTCACGCACACAGCAGTGAACACACACACACACCGTGAACACACACCCGGAGCAGTGGGCAGCCATTTTTTGCTGCGGCGCCCAGGGAGCAGTTGGGGGTTCGGTGCCTTGCTCAAGGGCACCTCAGTCGTGGTATTGAAGGTGGGAGAGAGCGCTTTACATTCACTCTCCCCACCTACAATCCCTGCCGGTACGAGACTCGAACCCGCAACCTTTGAGTTACGAGTCCGACTCTCTAACCATTAGGCCACGACTTCCCACTTAAAATAAAAGGCTCAAACTAATGCACATATTTAATACACTACGCATCGATATCTCTTCACTTTGTGCTTTGAACTTCCCTATGCTGCGCGCTGTGACTCCGTGTTGCTTCAAGCGCGTCATTCTGCGCACGGGATGCGCATAAGCGCTTTGAGCCGCTCTGTATTTGTAGCCTTTAGTATCATAATACTTTTGCGCAATGAAAGATTATTAATAGCCTTTCTTGTTCGTCTTATCTATCATATGTTGCTGCCTCATTACTCTGCTATACATTTAAAAGAAATGTCTTTTAATTTATACAGTAGTCTACATTTGAAGTGGATCAAAAAAGTTAAATCAAAGTTGTCCTAAGACAAGAACGGGTATTGTTTTGGTTTTAGGACAACTTTGATGAAAGGTTTTGATCCACTTCAAACGTTGACTACTATAGTATATATTTATATATAAATATATTACTTGTTTTTCATGAATGTATTTTACAACAATACAAAGAGCAATGTGTAGGCCTACCAGATTTAGCCCTACACTTATTCACTTTTATTTGTTACCCACTAAATAATGCATTTTTTTCACTAAAAGTTTAAGGTTTTATAAAATTATTGTGCACTCATGATTTTTCTAGAGTAACTTTTGCTACAGAATTATCCATTAACCTAGTTTATAATAGTATTTTTGTCATAGATTTTGATAATATTTTTTGTTTGTTTGTTATTTTTTCTTTATAATGAAGCTGTCTATATTTAGTAGATTGTGTGTAAAATACAAAAGAGTGATGATCGACCTACACATTGAGGTATAGAAATTCTACACTCATTAAAAAAAAAACTGCGCTGGTATCGGATCGATATCGGTATCGGCAGATACTCAGAATTTTTGGTATCGGAT